TTTTAGCAAAACATACTGTCATGCAAAACCTTCCCACTTACACTGATACAAGACCATCCTACAAGTTTGGGAAGACCCCTTGGAAACAAATGAGGGACACTGAGATGATCATGACATTGTGTGATGGCTAAAAGCACCAGAAATGGGATAGCATGTTCACTCAAACAGCAGAAGGGAAATGTATCCCTTATTTACTCAGCAAATACTTACTGAACACCTCTTTTGCATGTGGTACTCTGTATTTAAGAGGAACAGGACACAGTCGGTGTCCTTAGAGGCTCATACCCTGGAAGAAATGTGAGACTAAGCCATTATTGGAACATACGCAAGCCATTACTCATCGTTTGTCCTCTACCTAAGAAACTTGTAGAAATCAAAGCATTTGTGATCTGGTGTGTCTTTTCTTTCTCTTTTTCTTCTTCCTTTTTTCTTTAACCACTGTCAAAATAAGTATACTCATATTATGAGGTATTCGGGCCTCCGTTTCCCTCGAAGCCTCCAAGCTCACGTAAGGCAGCTAACACATTTCTGGGCTCTGACCCACAGCTTGTTCTCTAAGGGGATGCCCTTGATTGGCAGAGGTGGCTCCCAAATGCGGTTTTAAAACACGGCTACTTGTGAAAAGCATCCAGGTGATGATTTACCTTACAAGAAAAATTTTGCTGAAGAAAATAATATTTTGAACAACAAAAATGACAGAAGTAGAATAGATGGAAAAACTGTAGAAAAAGAATTCTCATATACATTTACCACAAGACTAGCATTTGTCTTATATTTAGCTTCTTCGGACTTCATGTCTGACAATACTAAGTAAGTAACAGAAAACAGGTTAAGATTGGTCATAACATGTTACATTTTCTCCCTCTGAAAAGATGGGAGGAATATGTCTCCTTGTCATTAATGTACATATTATAAGATTATAGAGGTATGAAACTGCTTAGCTGGATTCTCAAATTAAAAGAGATTCAACACATTTATAAACATATTTAAAGTAATGATTCTAAAAAAGATAGTTTCCCACCGATTTAAAAATTCACTTCTCCCACTAAAAACAGGTCCTAAACTAAAACCCTCCAATGGTGGCTATTATTCTGAGATTCTATAATTCTTTATTGAATTCTTTTTGTTTTCAGTATTCAAGAGATGTTTACTGTGTCTGTTGCAACCAGTGACTTGAAAGTTCAACTTAAAAATCCTTGCCGTTGACTTAGTCTCTCACTGCTCTGTTCTCAGAGGAGGATTTGTTCTGTCTCCACCTTGGTTTTTTTGTTTTTTAATAGTTGTTAAAATTCACTCATTATTTCCAAGAATGGTAAACTGAGTAGTTCAGAACAACCTCCCTGCTGTGAAAAATCAGTAAAGCTGACAAGATACAGGCAAGCAAGCAAACACTAGCTATCTGAAGGTACAGATGAGCTGATGAGACGGTGAAGCACAGAAGGGGGCAATTTCTGAGGTGGGACAGCATCTGAAGGCCATTTTCCCCAGGGGGGACAGTTGGCCTCACAGAGTTAGAAGCCTGACCTCAAATCATCTCAATTCCTGGTAAGAAACTAAATAAAAAATAACCAGGCTTATTAGAGAAACACATGACTGAAAACAAAGAGAAACAACAGATTATAAAGACAGAAACTAAATGCAGCCAGAAAATGGAGTTACCTGGTAGAGATTTCAAAATAAATATTTGTTGTGCTCAAAGACAGACAAGATTAATAATTTTGGTAGAGAACTAGAGAGGACAAAAAGACATCCAAACAGAATTAAGAGAACTGGGGGTGCCTAGGTGGCTCAGTGGGTTAAGCCTCTGCCTTCGGCTCAGGTCATGATTTCAGGGTCCTGGGATCAAGCCCTGCATCGGGCTTCCTGCTCTGTGGGAAGCCTGTTTCTCCCTCTCCCACTCCCCCTGGTTGTGTTCTGTCTCTCACTGTGTCTCTGTCAAAAAAAAATAAATAAAATCTTTAAAAAAAAAATATGAGAACTGAAAAATACAATAAATGGGACTTAAAAACCAAATATATGTTTACCATCAGAATAGATATATAAAGAGGGAAAGGGAGAATGGAAAAGAAATCAGTAGAAAATATCCAGAAGGAAACGAGGAAATACATAAGGACAAAAATTTGAAAAGCCATGAGACAGGATGCCTGCGTGACTCAGTTAAGTGTTTGACTCTTGGTTTCAGCTCAGGTCATGATCTCAGGATCCTCAGATCAATCCCACATCAGGCTCCACACTGGGCGTGGAGTCTGCTTGGGATTCTCTCTCTCTCCCTCTGCCCCTTCCACCCCCTGCTTGTATGCACAATTTCTCTCTCAAAAAATATAAAATAAAAATAAAATAGAAATAGAAATAGGAGAGGACCTGAATAGACATTTCTCCAAAGAAGACATCCAAATGGCCAACATATACATGAAAAGATGCTCAACACCACTGATAATCAAGGAAATGCAAATTAAAACCACAAGGAGGTATCACCTCACACCTGTCATAATGACTAGAATCAAAAAGACAAGAAATAAGTGTTGGCAAAGATGGAGAGAAAAAGAAACCCTTGTGCACTATTGGTAGGAGTGTCACTGCAGAAAACAGTATGGAGGTTTCTCAAAAAATTAAAAATAAAGATACCGTATGATCCAGTAATTGCACTCCTGGGTATTTCCCTGAAGAAAACAAAACACTAACTCAAAAAGATATGTGCACCCCTAGGTTTATTGCAGCATCATTTACAATAGCCAAGATATGAAAGCAACCCAACGGTCATTGACAGATGAATGTATAAAGGAGATACCATCACACACACACACACACACACACACACACACACACACACACACACACACAATGGAATACTACTCAGGCATGAAAAAGAATGAGATCTTGCCAAATGCAATGACATGGATGGCACTGGAAGATGTTAGGCTAAGTGAAATAAGTCAGACAGAGAGAGACAAATATGTATGATTTCACTTATATATAGAATCTCAAAAAAACCAAAACTAATGGAAAAAACAAACAAAAGCAGAAACAGACCCATAAATACAGAGAACAGGTGGGTGCCAAAGGGGAAGGGGTGGAAGGATGGGCAAAATGGGTGAAGGGGAGTGGGAGCTACGGGCCTCTTGCTGCAGGATGAGTCAGTCCGGGACTGAAGGCGCAGCACAGGGAATACGGTCCGTGGTAGCGTGTGTGGTGACAGATGGTAGCTACACACGGGGGGAGCACAGCATAGCATATACGGTTGTCAAATCACTATGTTGTACACTTAAAACTCATGTTTCAGGGAAATAAACACCGTGTGTCTACTATTCTTCGATAAAAAACCAAAATATAAAATTTTTTAAGTAATGTGACAAAATATTTTCAAAACAAAAGTTAAAACAAATGTAAGGAAGTGACATAACTAAATTTATTAACTCTTTTTTTGTTCCTGAGCCTGTCAGTTGAAGGCATGTCTACATTATTCTGTATTTTTCCCTTTTACCCACCTGTTTTATTAGTAACCCTCGACACAGACGCTCCCTTCACTCCCCACTGGTGTAGCATTTATCACTCGAGGCATACAATCATGCTGGGAAGGGCAGGGCACACGGGGGTTCCCCCACTTCAGGGGCCCTTTAGGGCAAGAGGCTTTGTAAAAACGAAGGGACGATGCTCCCGTCCAGGACCCACGTCTCCAACCCATGATCTTCCACGGACCCAGTGCAGGGTGACCCAGGCAGAAGCCAGGCGAGGTCAAACGTTTGAAATATTAACTTCCAAGTTAAACCTCATGCTTTGTGATCAGACAGGGTGAAGGATTTTTATGGTAATAAGTAATCAGTGTTAACTGGGCACTTTTTTTGGTTTAAATACAGGCATAATACCAAGAAAGAGATGAGTCGGTACACCTGTTTGCATAAGAAAATACCCCTGGGAGGTGTGTAGTGGGTACATAATACCTGAAAGCATGGCCGTCTAAAGGAGGGGTGCATATGGGCTGTCACATGAGGCACGGCACTGCGGCAGGTGCAGGGATGCTCACGACAGCCAGAGCACAGGACACTAGCAGCCTGGTGTCACCTACACCGCTCCCATGTGAGGGGACTGTGACACCCTCCCAGCAGATCTACTGCTACACCTGACAGGTGATTCCTTCCATCTGGGGAGTCCTGTTCTGTGCTTTTTATTTTTTTCTGAGACAAACCAGAACACATCGATAAAGAAGTCAAAGTTTCTACCTCGTAGACTTTCATGGCATCTGTAATTTTAAACATCTCTAACTGTAGCCAGTATAAGGAAGATGTCAGTGTTTCTTTTCCTCAGGTAGTATCTGCCCCCCATGTTTGGTCGGAAGACAGGGACGCCCCAGTGCCCTTTAAGTGGTGTCGTTGCTTCTTTTCAGATTGTTCCTTGTTTATCACGGCCGTTCCCCTATCGTGTGGAAATCAGGTTTCAACATATGATGCTTTCTCGGCCTTGTATGAATGAGGTGTAAGATAACGAATGGCTAATTTTAAAAATTTAAGCCATGAAGGCAGAGGCTGAAGAATCAGAAAATGTTAAATCCTCCTTACGTTATTCACATAGGGTGCTGCATGATGAGAGCCAGCGTCGAGAGCTGAAGCACAATGCCACGGGGACCTTTCACTCCGATGGCCTGAAGTCAAGCCTTCGCCAGCTCAGGTTCTCCCCTCCTACCTAGTGAATGTTTATTTGATTACAAAACAATCGTTGGCGCAACGGACACCCTTAGCTTGAGAGAAGCTGCTGGCGTTTTTATAGCAAGAACTGCTTCGGCAAAGTGGGGGCAAAGCCTGCTCTACCAGTACTAATCCTCCGTCCCGAATGTGACCCATGCTCTCAGGGTTGCTGTCAGACTTTGCCAACATTCACCCATTATTAATCTTTTAAGTAAAATACAAGCTGGACAAGCTGGACTAGTTTAAGTGACATTAACCCAGAGTTGAACGTTATGACGGAGTGGCACTGGAAAGTTTAAAACAATACTTTTACACACCAACCTTTTGAGCTTTCCCTCTTCTCTTCGATGCCTCGTGAGGTCTGGTGCGGTCCTTACAGGCTTCTAATGAGGCATCTAAAACATCACGCCTTGTTGGTCCATTTTTTACACCTGAAATCCAAGAGGATTTGAAGATTAGTTAGAACTTTACATGGACTGAATACTAATGCAACTTAAGCAAAATAAAAATTAACTTATGCATACTGGTAAGATGAAAGCGCCAGTCCTTTTAAATAAACTTCACATACTTGCTCTGTGAGATCTGTTTAGGACTTCAAGTTTATCTACTACAGTCCCCAGCAATTACTTAACTCCAAGGTCAGAAACAATGCTTGCCTGTCCAGTGATGACATACCAGCTCCACAGAAACCCATCCGTCCAGTGGGCAATGAGAGAAAATGTCTGCCCGTACCTTAGGCTCTACTCCATCCCCAGTTTTTAGATTTTTACATAATGATCCAAAATGAACAACAGAATAATGCATAAAAGGCAAATGGCAGCCTAGGGGACCCTCATGTCCCAGGCACAGTGAAGTGATGATGAGCCATTCCACACAACCCATCATCCACATCGTCCAACTAGTCAGTCACTGATGCTTTTATCAACAGTGTCTAATAATCAGGGGTTACCCACTGGAGATGCAGAGATGCACAAGCACTGATCCTACTCTTGGGGAGTTTACAACCCAATATATAATGCAGACTTCAAAAGTAAATATAATACAAGGCAAAAAGTACACGTCATGCCATCAGAAACTAAAAATCATACAACATGAGAATGATTGCTTTGCAAATATTTCAGATAAAATAGGATGCTCTAATAAAACAGTTACGACTAATTTTGGAGGGTCTGATTTGAAAGTTCTAACTCTTCTTTCAAAAGTAGGATTCTGGGAGTGCCTGGGTGGTTCAGTGGGTTAAAGCCTCTGCCTTCGCCTCGGGGCATGATCTCAGGGTCCTAGAATCGAGCCCCACATTGGGCTCTCTGCTCAGCGGGGAGCCTGCTTTCTCCTCTCTCTCTGCCTACCTCTCTGCCTACTTGTGACCTCTGTCAAATAAATAAAATCTTGAAGAAAAAAAAAGTAGGATTCTGGTTAAGTGAAAACAAAATGCACAACAATGGTTAAATATTTTCTTGAATTCAAACTACTTGCTATTTGCAACTTGGACTCTAAAAGTGTGTTGAGGTTAGGTTCTGAAAGACCTTAGACTAAACCCCAATACTAAATCCCTTTTAGAGATACTCAAACCAATCACCTGCTGACTCCCCTATCTCCTCGGTTATCTTTTATATTTGAGGTATATTCCACTTCTGTCCTGGCAAGCTAACCACAGACCTTACTGAGGAGATGGGCTACTGGACATGCATTCTGCAATTGATTGTTTATTCTAAAAACACTGCTTCTTTTACTCATTTTGAAGGTAAGAATATCTATCTACATGTATCACTTTCCACTACATTCCACAATCACTGTTTAAAAACACCTAGAATTTCTAACTCCTAGGGCAGGATATGGTTACAAGGTTTCTGATCTTCAAGATCTAAGATTATAAGTAATTGGAATATTAGAATAAATATTAATTGCACCCACTATTCTTTTTTTTAATCTAAATGTTTACTGAAAGCAAGAGTATGTAAAAATAAGTAAAAAAAAAATAAGAAATGTAGAGGACTACAGATATAATTTAGAATCCAACACACTCTTGTTAATGCACCATGAGTTTCCTGCTTGCTAATGTGTCTATGTCAAAAACCATTGTTACAGCCACCTGCTTCAGTTCTAGCCTAAAACAAGAGGTTGTGAAACATTCTGTAAAGATAAAGATCTAAAAAATATATCACAACCTCTTAAAACTTAAGACTAATATTACTAATGGCATTTTCACATTTTCTCACAAAATGTATCACAAAATGATACGAGAACAGATGTTCCTTGACTTAAAATGAGGTTTTTCCAGATAAACGCATTCATTCTAGGTTGAAAATATTAGAAGTTGAAATGCACTTAATAGCCCTAGCCCACCGAGTATCAGCGCTTACTCTAACCTACTTTACCCATGCTCAGAACACTTACAAGAGGCTACATTTAGGCAATGTTACTTAACAGACAGCCTATTTTATGATTAAGTGCTGACTATCTGAGGCAATTTAATGAATACTGTACTGAAAGTGACAACAGAATCCTTGTAGGAGGGGAAGGTGGTCGTCAGTGTGTGGGTGACTAACCGTCATGACTGCCTGCTTGCCTGGAAGCTACGACTCGCTCGCTACTGCTGACCAGCATCACAAGGTAGTATGGAAAGAGTGTTGTACTGTACAGGCACGTGGTTTATACCACATGTCACTCGCCCCAGGAAAGATGCAGATTCAAAATTCCAAGTACAGTTTCTACTGAGCGCATGTTGGGGCCCCACAATAGTAAAGTCAGAAAATTATTAAGCCAAATCATCATGAGTTGGGAATCACTCCTCTTCTGAGTTATGTGGTATGTAAAACAGCATCTCTGCAAACTCAGCTGTGGCGATTTGCTACTATGTTTTCTGTAATGGGGATGTTTCAGTAAACCACAAGCAGCTGAAAATGCAAAGTAACTATAAAAGCTAGGAGGGGAGAGCAGCCAGATTTTATTCCTCACCACAGCCCAGGAACAAATATTTCCTCCCATCTTCCTGCTCGCCCACCTCTGATGACCTCTGCTGTTTGCTCAAGTGCTGCAGTTTCTCAAGGTGGTCATGAGCTCTCCTCTACTACCTAACACACCTCTATCTTGAATGTCACAGAGAAATTTCAACCAACACACCCCTGGTCCTTGTTTGCTTAATGTTATCAGCCATCTATGGGTCAAGGTTGAAAATCCTAGACTCCTGTCTCTCCCTTCATTGACATTCCAACTTCATGATACAAGTGATTCCCTTAGTTTTCAAAAAACGGTCAGAGAGAGGAGACCCTCACGCCCCAGAATGTTTACCGTTAAGTTATACTGCCCGAGATTTCATCAATTAGAAATCTGTTTGGGTTAACGATGTCATTGTATACAAATACATCCAGGAAGGCTGGAAAGTGAACTTGTTCACTTCTCAGTAGGAATTAGTTAAATCACTACCTCCTCCACTCACCTAACAGGGGTGGGCAGGATTAAAAGGTGGTTTTGATACTGACTCCTAGAGGAAAAACCAGGCTAAGGCAGCATAAGGACATAGGTAACCTAAGTGCTACAAAAGGGAGAGAAGTGGAAAAATTCGGAGACTTAAGAAATGTCCTTAAGGGGCGCCTGGGTGGCTCAGTGGGTTAGGCCACTGCCTTCAGCTCAGGTCGTGATCTCGGGGTCCTGGGATCGAGTCCCGCATCGGGCTCTCTGCTCGGCGGGAAGCCTGCTTCCCTCTCTCTCTCTGCCTGCCTCTCCGTCTACTTGTGATCTCTCTCTGTCAAATAAATAAATAACATCAAAAAAAAAAAAAAAAAAAAAAAAAAAAAGAAATGTCCTTAAGACAAATTTGGTTCATGTGGTTGTTGTGCTCACAGAAGAGGAGTAAGAAATACATTCTTCTCTTCCCCATCTATCCTCCTGCATATCCACTTCCTACTTTCAAGACACAGAATCCAGACTAACACTAGTACTAATGATAACATCTAAACACTCAGCATTCATCGGTACAAAACACACTGCAAGACCAACTGTACCAAAGGTGAAAAGGCTTTTGAAGGTTAAGAATCCATATAATTAACATGAAAAAGCATATCCCAAAATTTAAACATCCCACCAAGAAATTTCTTCTGAATCCCCAAAATCTGAATAACAAGTTGTTTAAGAACAATGTAGAATATAAAATCTTAAGACTGTAGAAAGAGCCTTGAAAGACACCTAGGAGAAACTCTTTCCATATATACTTTTGGGATTTGGGATATATGCAAGTTATTCATGTGTTCTATGCAAACAAAACTCAACTAACCAAATGGGGGGGGGTGTATGTGTGTGTGGGGGGGTGGGGGGTGTATATTCATCTACTAAGAAATCAAGTTCACTTTATGAATATAAAAATAAATCCAATCATTATCATTAAAAGATGTGGAATCTTTTCCTTTATAATCACTATAGAGATCATTAAAATATGACTTTCATTTGTAATCTTGTTTAATACCAAATAACCTTTACCATTGGGAATAACTTCTCCATCTTTCAAATTCTCTAATACTTGCATATGAATTATCTAGACTGTATCTTCCCTATCTAAGCTCTGTTAATGGAAAGGGCTAGAGCTTCACATCAACCTTCTCTCTCCTTGTATTTATCCCAATACTTTGGACATTGTAGGTGAATAGCAAACATTAAGGGTTCAGTGAAATAGATGAGCAAATCAAACAATCAGATAATGGATGGGCTGTAACACTTTCCTTGCAGCTAACCTTCCGGTTAAAGCTGACTGATCTATGCTGAGCTGTTGGGATTGCTGACCTCCAGCAAGTAGACTGGCAGGCTGTGGGGAAGAGGGTTGAGAAACACTCTTCTCAATACAATACTTGTGTGTCACTTGAATTGTTAAAAGGAGAAATCATTGCTCTTCAATTTAAAATATTTAAGAAATACATATATAGTGTGCCTAGTTACTTGATATAATAGTAATTCACACTTTCTCTTGAAGAAATCCTCAGAATATGCAAAATATTGAATATCTAAATGCCTATGATTGGATGGGCTTTAGTTCTTATTAAATATATATGAAATATTTTTTCAGATTTTATTTGAGAGAGAGAGAGAGAGAAAGAAGGAGGGAGCACAAGCAGGGGGAGAGCAGAGGGAGAACAAGAAGCAGGTTCCCCACTGAGAAAGGAGCGGGATTCGGGGCTCAATTCCAGCACCCTGAGATCATGACCTGAGCCAAAGGAAGATGTTTAACCAACTGAGCCACCCAGGCACCCCCATACTGAGCCATACGAATCATTCTTTAAGCAGACAGTACTATGCTTTTCTCTACAAAGCCAGGATGCAACCTCATAATCTTCCCAACCCAGAGCTATGGGCAGTGACCACAGACCAAGGGAAGTCAGCACAGACACCATGTGTTCTATCACCGGATGAATGCAGTAAGACAGAACAACCTATCACAAAGGCT